CCTACATGTTGGCGCGTCCGGACCCCCGCCCCCCCTCCGGGCTGCAACCACACTGCTCTCCTCTGCCCTACCCCCGGCTGTAGCCAGCTGCCATGCGCGGGCACGGCGCAGAGCCGCCAGACCTAAGGAGCGAAGGCGACGAGATTCTCAAAGATTCGGGTTTGTCGCCGTTTTTTGGCCAGGTGCCCCTGTCGGACGCACTGCAGGGTTGCAACTGGGAAAGCTCATGCCAGTGCCTTTCATTATAGCAGAAAATCAGCACCTTTACTGCACCTTCGTCGAGCGATCGCCGGTCTGCTTCAGACCCGACACAAGCTTAGACAAACTCCAGACACAACAAGAACGGCCAAAGAGACCTCAACGAAACAGTTCTCTCGCGCCCGGTGCTTCCTGTCGGAGAGCTTGACCTCCGTATATACCCCCCACAGCACTATCATCGCAAAAGTGCCAACACAGTCCAACACAGTGCTACAAGCAATCCCAAGATTTCAGCCTCACCGACGATCCACATTGCTTGTCCACCGATTAACGTCCCTGGAATGTCTACGCGATGGCCCAATAAACACACAGTCAATTAGCTAGAGAGAGCTTCCGGAGAGACCCACCAGTACGTGCAATAAGCATCCTGCTCCTTGCCTATCCCTAGAGATGCGTAGCCCAGGTGGGAAGACTGGGATTCTCAGCCCCGATCCGCCACTGCCCCTTCAAGTCATCCAACGTAATCATAAAACGAGTTAACTCAGTTTTCAGTTCCACCTATATCAAAACAGTGCTCACCATGAGTGAAGGGCCCGAAGTCTGCCCCTAACCGATAGTTTGTGTACATGTGTCTGTTTTCCAACTCGTAGCTTATACATGTGTCTCTACCCCCATCTGCCCCGACTCTTCCAGATCCCAAACGGAACATGATCCAGTTCGACTCAAATAGGGTTTAGGGTTCAGGGTTTAGCGAGGTAGCGGACACCGATCCTACATGATAGTTACGAGGGCGGTGGCCTCATAATTCGGAGCGGACTTCTGTCAGAATGTTCGAGGAATGTCGGCGGCAGCGAGTGGGGGTTTTGCACATAGCTTGATGCCTGCGATTGGGCCCACAAGAGTCCAGGTTGCTGCCCAGGAGCTTCATCTTACGTAGTAGATAAAATCCTTTCCTCATTTTTGGTAACCTCACCTAAGCTCCTTAGCCTTAGCAGCACCCGACGATTTGGGCCTGCGGTTTCGGTTGTGGGGGGAGGGGGGTGGAGGGTTGCAGTCGAGTGAGGGGGACGGACTATGCAACCCTGCGCTCTGTGGTCCGGAACTGGGAGTCTAGGGTTCTCAGTAGGGCTGGCCTAAGCCTAAACCCGAAACAGGTTCTAAAGCGTTCGTTCGGAAAATGGAGCCCTAGGCACTCAGACTTCGTGAGAACTTTGCGGATGTTTGAAGAGTCCAACGCAAATGCAGTCTTTAGCCTCTGCCTAGCAGGCTCGTGGAGGTAGGGTTTAGGGTTTACGGTGAAGGTTTGTCTTTGCCACCCACCTAGCTGACCACTCTCGGACGTGCAAGGCACATAGTGGGAAAAGATGTCGAGTGCCACACAACTCAGCAGAGAAAACTCACACGAAAGCAGAGAACAGGACACCAGGCAAACGACCTGGGGTGGGTGGTTTAAGGTTCGGTTTGTTCGTGGCTTGATACTTGAAGCCTCGAGGATTACCTATGTATATTTCCATGCAGGGGTACTAGCTAGACCTAGACGTCGGATAGCTGGATTTGTAGCCCTAATACTAAACCAAGTTTAACAAACACACATAAGCCTGCTTCTCTCTACCCATGCCCCATGACCTTCAGAATGGCATGAACGAAGTCGTGTAGCCTGGGGCCTGTATTCATAGCCGAGCGACCGGATCACGATAACTGTGATGTCGTCAATGGAGCCCTCGAAAGACTCCTGGGGGACAACCCTAAACACTAAGCTTCAGCCCTAAACCCAGGGTGGCTTTCCCGGGCGTTCATGCCCAACGGAGCGGATTAAGGAGTGTATCCATGCATGCGTGGGGCACTTTTACAGAAACCGCATGCATGCAGCGCTGGGAGTTCCTGCAACACGGAGCATGCTATTTCAGGGAAGCTAAACGGCACCATCAACGTAGAGCAACATCCCAGGCCTACCGAACAGCCCAAACCCTACACCCTAAGCCCCGTACCCTAAATCCTAAACCCTTTTTGCACAGGCTTGTCCCAGCGCGTCTGGTCGAGCTCATCGCCTAAACCCTAAACCCTAAAACCGTAGACCCTAAATCCTAAACCTCTCTTGCTATATATACATACGTAAACCCTAATGGACACCAGGAAGTGCTCACGACCAATTCTGACATTCGGCAAGATGATGCAGTTGGCACCGTGATGGGCAAACACCTTGATGACATGGGTTACCTGGTCACACCAGTTCCTCAAAACATGGGGGCTCGTCTCCAAAGCCTTGAGCTCAAGCCCAAGCGTAGTACTCCCTCCACCCTCCAAAGCCAACCGACAAACCGACTTTACGGAACTTCCCCAACCTCCTTTAAATCTACAGAAAGGCGCACTCCCGTGCCCTAAACCCTAAACCCTAAACCCCAAACCCTAAACCCTAAACCCCCCCCCAATTCTCCAACAATGCCCGTGCTCTGCCCGGCTCCTGTTGCTGCCATCGACTCTGAGCCTGGCCCGCTGGAAGAATTAAGGGTAGGGTTTAGGGTTTAGGGTTTAGGGTTTAGGGTTTAGGGTTCAGGGTTCAGGGTTCAGGGTTCAGGGTTCAGGGTTCAGGGTTCAGGGTTCAGGGTTCAGGGTTCAGGGTTTAGGGTTTAGGGTTCAGGGTTCAGGCTTTAGGGTTCAGGGTTCAGGGTTTAGGGTTCAGGGTTCAGGGTTCAGGGTTAGGGTTCAGGGTTCAGGTTTTAGGAATTGCTGGCTGGTTCTTAGTAGGGAATCCCTTAAAGGGTATGTATAGGGTCCTAATTCCCTCATTCCATACTAAGAACCAGGTTTTTTTTAGGGTTTAGGGTTCAGGGTCTTCGGGTTCAGGGTTTAGAGTTCGGGGGTTGCAGGTAGTTATTAGCGACTGATTAGACACTAAGCTCCTCCACTATGATTTGGTCGTCCAGTCTCTCCGGAATCAATTGTTGTCGGGCTGACACATTTTATCTGCTCGCTAGAGGTGGTATCTTTGCTGGATTGCGTGAAGTGCTTAAAATCATTCTCCCTTGCGAAAGAGAAAAAGGCCTTTGACTAATGCATGCCGCTCCATGCCACATGCAATATGAGGGTCACAGGCCCATGTATAAGTCAAAGAATATCCTTGAACCTAAGCCCGAAGCATTTACAGGGGACCTATGTACCTACGGCCACGAAAATAGGCAACAAGACACATTGCTCTCTGATATTGGTCGTGCTGAAAACAAGTATGCCCGTGGCCCGTAGCCCTACTTCCACAACCCCTCAACCTGAAACGCAAAAAAGCAAACACACACACATCCAACGCTGTGGACTTTGGGCTAGCGACAACTAAAGCATCAGCTTCTGCACGTCATTGGCCGTGCGCCCCTTTCTTCCTGTCGCGGCTTGAATTCGGCGACTTTATTGGCACCAGCACCATGCTGCACTGTCGTGCAGGCCTCCCTGGGATCACGACATTACGCCGCGTGATCATGCGGCTCTGCCGCGGCCGTCCCTCGTAATGTTCTACTTCTTCGGCTGCCTCTGTTAAGCCTGGCTGCCTCTGCCCCACGTCTGTCCCACAGCGCATCACATCTGTTCGGGCAATCAGGTTTATGCGAGATCCTAAACCCAAAAGAGGAATAAGGGCACCAGCGTACTACTTTGAACCATGGCCCTGAACCCTATAAACCCCTAAGCTACTGTTGCATCCAGGCCTCTTCGACCCCTAAGCTACTTTTCCAACCCCTATTCCTAAGCTACCAGAATCCTTAACCCTAACCCTAAAACCACCCTCAAACCCTCCCCAAAGGCGACCTTGGACGCCAGCCGTTCGGCGGCGCGCTGGGCATCGTCGGCGGCAAACTTTGAGACGATGGTGACCTTGGTGATTTTACCTAAAATCCCTTTTTTGAAGCATGCACTAAAGTCGGCGCCAGCACACTGAGTGATTAATCCCGAAACCCTAAATCCTACACTGCCCTGTCGCCCTAAACTGAAGGCTGAAGGCTGGGTCCGATTCGTGCTCTGAATGAAGGGCTTTGCGCTGATGTCCGTGGTTCAGGGCTTGAGCCTCATGACTACGCCGTACAGACTGTCACTTGCAATGCCTGAGCCCCGAAAACCTTCGCCCAAATATGCGCAAGTCCAAGCCCTCACTAAACCCTACCCTAAACCCTAAACCCTAAACCCCAAACCCTAAACCACCCGAACTCCCAAACCGGCCAAGGCCGCAGCCGCCTCTTTCGGAGTCAGCACGTCCCAAACCTGGAAGCTCAGCGGCGGGGTTGGGTTTAGGGTTTAGGGTTTAGGGTGTAGGGTTTCTCCCTGAAGATCCACCAAAATGGGCAATTTTGGTCTCATACTCCCTATAAAGGGCGCTTTTGTAGGGGTTCTAGGCTGGAATGGCCCACCCGAAACCCTAGACCCAAAACCCTTATAATCCTCATCATCCACTCTACAAAGCCTTGTTTTAGGGGTTCTGGGGTAGAACGGACCATCCTGGCACGTTGCAACTCAAAGTAGCTCGAAGGTTTTTTGGCCGCTTTCGCGCAGTCTGTGCCGGCATTTTTGCCAGGCCATCTTTCCCCGCTTTGCCTCGACAGTCGCCACTCTTCCGCCACTTCGTGGCCGAGTGGCAGCACTGCGCCTGATACTAACTAGCAACTTTGCATTTACACACTTTCTCTCACACACATATATATATGTTATAAACGAATATATGTACATGTTTGCATTTCTTCAGAATATCGCGAACATACTGCGACGAGGACTTCTTAACATCGAGCCCCAGAGTCCACAAACATCCTTCATCCTTCCTCCCTTTCTTACTCGGCCAGGGGCGTGTAGAGCAGTCCGAACGCGTCCTGGCAGTCCAGCCAGCTCTCGTGCGACATGGGCTTTTCAGACATCTGTGGGAGGTCGCCAAGTACACTGAGGCGAGATGAGTGAGAATACTTGATCGTCATCTTGCGCATGGCCAATGAGCTGACGTCACTTCCACGCCGAGTTGTCCCAGAGCGAGCCAACCTTAGTTGTCCAGCAACCTGGGGGAACTAAAGGTTAACCTTTGGGATTATAACGGGATTCTATTACCCCAAAAAGGTTAAAGGTTGCCCACTCTACTACTAGGCAACTCTTCTGTGACACTCTCGCCGTCACTTTCCTCAGGGACCACAATCTTCTCAGGAGGCCGTACAACCAGCATGGGCAGCCTCAGGTGCGGAACAGCTGCTTTTCGACCATTGAAGCAATCCTTGGTAGCCCAGTAACCATACTATATAGTAAGGGCACCTTTTTTTGGGTTGGTTACTTTGAAAAGGAACCTTGAACCCAAAAAAGTGAAAAAGGGTACCACTGGGCTACCAAGAATCCCAAAGCTCAAAGCTCTCAGATACATTCTCTGTCGCTATGTGTGGGACATCGACTTTGCAGCTTTTGATGGGCTCTTGGCCCCCGCGAGCGCGTATGCAATGCCTCTGCACCGCCTGTGTCTCTCTCTCCTTGATCTTCCGCCAGCGATATTTTCTGGTGGTTTCCAAAGCTTGCCTGTTCGCAAGGGCCAGCTGCTCTTCCGTGAAGCTCTGTATCCACAGCCTGTGCTCCGCATGGTTCTTTAGGACGTCAAGCCAATCTTTCCTTGTGAGCTTCTGCACTGTGCAAGCAGTCTGGGCTTCGATGGTGGCAAAGCGCTTCACAGGGGCCGACTGCAAGATCGAGGGTACTCCTAACGTGCAGCCTCCGGAAAGATCTTTCAGCTTCCGCCCATCAACGTAGAGGGTCACGACGGAGGCTGAGCTAATGATGATCATGCTGTCTGCAGGATCTCCTTGACGGATGATGGTCTCTCCGACAAAGAACACCTGAGCATTGCATTTCGTGCGCAGGGTATTGAGGAAAGACTTGGAGAAGTCCTTGAAGAAGGGGTGCTCTTCCAAGGGCTCGGGAGCGAGCTCCTTGAAGCGCCTCTCAGCGATTTCGCGGAAACATTGCCGGGCATCAGGATGCTCTTCCAGCAGTGTCAGGATGGCTGAGATCGGGATCTCGATGAGCTTGCCTTGCTGGCCCAGTAGCCATAAGATACTAAGGGCACCCTTCTGTTTTTTTTTTGGGGGTTGGTTACTTTGTAAGGGGGCCCAGAACCCCAACAAAAAGGGCAAAGGGTACCACTGGGCCAGCAAGTTGCAGAAGCTGAGAGCTTTGATGGTGGCCAGGCGGCGCTGCATTCCAGCGAAGCCGTAGGCCCCACTGATGCCACCCACCAGGTAGCCTTACTTCTCCAAGGGGGAAAAGAAGGTTAGACTTTATTTTCCTACAAAAAATAAGGAAACCAACAAGTTTAAAGTCCAACTGTTGGGTAAGCAAGTCGCTGTCCCTCACCTCCCCCGTCCGATCGGGGCATCCCCTCAGTGCCGGCTTCGTCTGGCGATGCACTTTGGCAGACCCGGTTTCGATGATGAGTGCGTGATCCACGTGATCCCCTTCCTCTACAATGGCCTCACCAGGGAGGCAAAACCTCACCTGCATGAAGGGTGCCACGGCTTCAATGAAGGCATCAGAGCAACCTGCAAACGGCTCATGCCGCCTGAGGACATTCAGGGAACTCCACCAGCTTAGGCCATGTCTTTTCTCCAAGCGCTCTTGGAACAGCACCACTCGCATCAAGAACGCCCGTGCGTTCTCAGGGTTGGCGGTCAGCAAAGACTTGCTCTGCTCGAAGTTCACGCAGTAAACTTCACTGAGCTCCTCTGCCACCGTTTCGACATAGCCCGATCGGTCAAAGCCGCATATGATCCTATACTCCCCTTAGAACCTCAAGAAAATTATATTTTTCAATATCCTCTTGGGTTTTACAAAACAACAACGAAAAATAATTCCCAAGGGGGATATAGGATCAGGGGGGCTTCCAGGGCCTCATCCACGGCCCTCAACCGGCCACGTGTCAGCACGACAAGGAAATCTGCATTTGGGCCGTCCAAGTTCCGAAAGAGATGCTGGCCCGGGATCAACTTGAAGCATTCCATATGCGTGATGAGCTCTTGCAGGAAGCTCTCTCCCAGATCGTCACAGAAGGGGCAATACCAGAACAAGCCCCCCCCGCGACCTCCGTTGGCTGCGTCCCTCAAAGGCCGCTGGAAAGCTGCTTGCCGGCTTCCGTAGCCGCCGTGCTTTCGAGAGTTCATGCGGTGTGCCTCAGCAACCATCACTGCTGTCTCATGCGGATGCCGGCTGAGGAGGCCAAGCAGCTTTGGTTGCGAGATGCGGAGAATCTGGCAAACTTCCTTGGCCTTGACTCGCCGTGGAGGCTCTGCGGCTGTGCGATCTCCAAGCCAGTTTACACTACTTAAAACCTCTGGAGCCTGCACCTTATGCCGCTTTTCATTTTGGCCGTGCCCATCCATGAATAGCACCAATCCAGTTGTGGGATCCTCTGCCGAGATGATATCGCTGCCGTGAAAGCACAGCGCAGACTCCGCGGTCTGCGCAAGATCCGACAGAAACTGCTTGGAACACTTGGAGAAGATCTCCAGGCTGTGAAGCCTGTGGATGCCACATCTTTGCCACTCACAGTACTCCGCATTTGCCAGGAGATCGAAACGCTTCTTCTCACGCGGGGCACGCGCGACCGCTTCTCTGAAGTCCTCCACTCTCAGGGATAGGATGATGCAGTCGGTCAGTGCCACGACTTGCCTGTAAAGTGCCCTTTCCTTAGCTGTCCAGTACCTAGGGGAACTAAAGGTTAACCTTTGGGAGTATAAGGGGTTACCCCAAAAAGGTTAAAGGTTACCTACTCCACTACGAAGTTTCACTTTCTGTATATCCAAGGACAGCCGGCTCATTGAACAACAAGCAGTAGGGACCGGCCTTTGCCTGAACGGTGCCTGATTCCGGTTCGAGATTTGCGAGGGTATCCGGTAAGTCATACATCTCCTCCTTCTCGTTCCCCTCGCTATCACTACCAGAGCTTGAGGAGCTCGAACTTGAAAGATCGGAGTTCTCCTCTTCATCAGACAACGTGCTGCTGCACTCGTCAGACTCTTCGAGTGTAGGATAGTCGAAGCCGGACATGGACTGTGTTGCAGCAAAGTCTTTCAGCTGTTGCAATGTTCTGGGTGACATCAAGTCCGGGCCGCTCAGCCGCCTCTGACTCTGCGCGCGCTTCTCCTCTTCGAGCTCATCGGAGAACTCCGTGCTGCCAATGGACACGTGCATCGTTTTTCTCCGCCTTCGTAGTCCAGTAACCATGTTGTCATAAGGGTGTCCTTCTTGGGGTTCTTTATATGGGGAACCTTGAACCCAAAAAAGTGAAAAAGGTTACCGCTGGGCTACCAAGCCGCTGAAAAACCGATTCGGTATCGGTTCGAACTATTGGGCTTCCAGGCAGCGCATTGTGCGCGCGGAAGGCTTCCTTGCTCACACTTTCCACCAGAACACTTCCCACAAGCACTGCTTTGAGATACTGCCTGGAGGTTGAGGGGGACCATATCAAGCTGTGGGCCCTGGAATGCCGTATGGACACTTTCTTCAGAAGCTGCTTGGGGAAGTTCTGCCCACAATGAGAAAGCAGCAGCAACTTAGAGGCTCGTGGCCACAGGATGCGCCTCTCCTGCTGGTCGACGAACTCATCCATTAAGGGCCCAGCAGAGGCATGGATCTTGATTGTCTGCCGCAGATCTGCGGAGGGTAGGCACCATGCGATGACTGGGACTTGCAAGACTCGGATGGTGAAGGGCTGCCGGTCGCATCTGCTGAAGGCCACGGAGTCACCAAACACGCTACCGTTCTCCAAAGTGCACAATGTCTGGCCGCTCTCGACAACCTCCACAGATCCGCGTGTCAAGATCCAGAGGTTGGAAAGGTCCGTTGCGAGCGAACCCTCATTCAAGATTACACGGCCTGCAGTCGTAAACACCAGCCGCTTGGATGCACGCGAGATACCCAAAATCACCTCCTTGCGCAAGCCTCGACAAAGAGGGTGGGCAGACAGGACCTCGAAGCTGTCTGTGTCAATCTCAGCAAACGCAGGCTCCTGGAGATCTTCCATGGAGGACAGGGGTCGTATTAACCATCCAGCTCCCCTTCCGGCGGTCTCTCCTCAAATCCCTGCTTTGGCAACTGCGGCTTAGGGTTTAGGGTTTAGGGTTTAGGGTTTAGGGTTTAGGGTTTAGGGTTTAGGGTTTCGGGTTTCGGGTTTCGGGTTTAGGGTTTAGGGCCTAGGGTTTGCAATGCTCGGGCGGGATCTGCTCCACATAAACGAGCTGCCTGGGGTTCTGCTTCGGACGCATTCGGAATGCATGCACAGCTACTGAGCCCGACCATGTAGAGATTCGGGGTTTTGGGCGCCCTCTGTGGAGAGTCATGGGGCAGCTATTTGGGATACTAACAGCTCCTTGATAGGGATTATGATAGGGGTACTATAATCCCTGTTAAGGACTGTTAGTAGAAGGGGGAACATCCCAAGGTAGTTCTATGTAATTGCACGAATGCTTTGCGTCAGGTTCATCTTGACTTTTTTACACTGGACCCCTTGCAAAGGAATTTTGTGAACCCCGGAACCTCCAAGTAGAGTTGAAGAGCTTTGGGGTCGGCAACCTTCGTGCTGCAATGAAGAAAGCAGCGGCCTGAACAAAAATGCGCATCCCGAGCTAAGCTGCGTTGGCAGTCGATCAAAAGGACCGAGAATAAGAACATCATAAGAGTTATTCTGAAGTGCCTCTGTCCATTTCAGCCTGTTCAATGGAAGAGGCCTTGAGAAAATTGGGACTGGAACGTCGCAAGCATGGCTGCAATTCATCAGCCAGGTACACCTTGCCAAACCGAAACATGGTACGGTATAGATGCTCTGGACTCTGGGCCAACATGGGAGAGCAGAACCGCCTGAACACTTCCAAACAGTGCCCCCAGCCCCTGAACGTTCTAGGATTCTAGGCCCTTGGGCGCCGCCCTAAACCCTAAATACCCTAAATACCCTAAATACCCCAAATACCCTAAATACCCTAAATACCCTAAATACCCTAAATACCCTAAATGCCCTAAATGCCCTAAATGCCCTAAATACCCTAAATACCCTAAACCCTGACCCTTCCAGGCCCCTTGGGCGCCACAGTGCAGATTGAGGCACGCCGTCGGAGCACATGATGATCAGATGCTCTTGTTCGTCCTCGCGCAAGTTTAGGGTTTAGGGTTTAGGGGTTAGGGCTTAGGGTTTAGGGTTTAGGGCTCAGGAGAATTATTTCAGGCATGGCGAGAAATTCTGAACGAGCCTGAGGCCTTTCTTACTCTAGACCACAGCCGCATAATGCTACTGCAGTCTCATGTCACAAAGCCAAGTGAGCCAAGAGCCACATAAACCCTTTCGCGTAAGCCCTAGACCCTAAACCCTAAGCCCTTTTGCAACTGGACTGCGGACAACTGCCAGGAAATTATACTACCCCCACTCAGCCTCGGCGTTTTGGGAAACCCTATCCCCAGACGGACAAAGCACCTAGGGTTCCTCCCGCAGGTCTTGAGTTTAGGGTTTAGGGTTTAGGGTTTAGGGTTTAGGGCTACTTGGAGGTTCATGGGTACTTGTGGGAAGGGTTATGAGTAGGGGTACCTAGAGTTAGAACCGTATTCAGGGTACTTTTAACCCTGCTTACAAGTACCCATGCATCTTCAAGTACATCAAGGCTCATTCCAATCCCTCGCAACGATTTCGCGTAGTGGATCTATGGGATTCCCAAAATCTGGGTACCCGCTTTATACACCCAAATAGAATCGAGTCCCCCTCAAAGGGACACCCAAGACGGGTACCCCCCAATTCGGAAACCCCCATATCCGGGCTTGGGGTAAAGACGTGGGATCTTTAGAACGCACCACCTGTCAGAGTAGGGAGCGATGAACTTCTGAACTTGGGATGTTCCCTCACTAGCAGCTTCTCAAGAGGGATTATAGTCCCCCCCCCTATTAGAATCACTATGAAGGAGCTGCTGGTATTAGGGGGAACATCCCAATTCTAAACTCTGAACTCCCCGGAGGCGCCTGCAGCAAGCAGTCGTCAACAAACTCAGGCTCTGATGACATTCCGTACCTCGGCCGAGAGGAACTGGTCTTGGTCTCAGGTTTGCAACGGGGAGCACACAACATGGGTGACTCTTCTGCGTCACTGTTGGGGCGTGCCACTTTGCGACTACTTGTGGCTATGCTTATACATGTCTTGGTGCTGGCGAGTTCTCCTGAGCTACATGGGTGTTCGCGCGTTGTGGCATTCAGAGATGTGTAAACTCCGCTTTTCAACGCCTGTTTTGCATGGCCTCTAGTAGACAGTTTTGGGACTTCACACAGTGACACGGGGCCGTTTCCATCCTTTTCTCTTGTCTCTGCTGACAAAGTCCGGTGAACAAACGCCGAATAACATGTTAGTGGTTGCACTTGTGGCCGACCAATGAATAGTAGTACAATTATTATCGGAGGCGTGGCGTGCAAACTTCTGGTGCTTGGACACATCAAGGATCCAAAATGGAATCGGCTCACTCGATTCCTTCAAGCCAACAAGTCTCAGTACTGGCATCTTCCACAATAGCCACAGTCTTTGTCGCATGCGGTGAAATCACGCTGCTCGCCCCGAAATGCAAAGACCATGTCGCCTTGCCCTGTCATGTAATATCCATCCTCAGGTGTGAACATGTCCTCTGAAGAATCTTCTCGGCCGTGCAGGGACTCCTCTGAGTCATGTTCATCTGAGGTACCATCCCACCCAAACACGTCAGCACCATCGTCAAAGGGATCATCGTAGCCTGAAATCCCATCAGCAAGCGTCAGCTCAAAGACATCCGGGAATGCGCGCACCAAGCTCGCTTGCATGTCGTACCGAGCCGTCGTCATCTCCAAGTCGGGACCAGGCTGGCATCGGGCATGTATATCTGAGAAACGATCTTTTCCAGGCACTTGGAGAGGATCCCAGAAGAGCTTCCAACATGGGCCTCTCTCTCCATGCCATGAGTGCCGGTCACATGAGTAGGAAAATGTCGCAAAAATGTTGGATTCTGCAGCATCTGACTCTGAAGATGCCCACACAACGCTCTCGTACTGATCGGGATTTTGTTGGACCTTCATCTTGATCTCACGCAGCATCGAATGATACTTTTCGAGGTCAAGCGATGCAACAGAATCACTTTTGATGTAGAAAGCCCAATGTCCGCCCATGACGCTTGGTAGGGCTTGTTGCCACCTGCTGAATGCTTTGAGGGCAAAACCTGTGGCCTGCGGATCAAGCAAGAAGAAAGTATGGAATGAAACACAAACACTTCTTCACTGCAGACTTCTCCCATGACGTTAGACTGCATCTGGCATGCTTCAGCCCATCAGCATCTTGGCTTGCTAACTTTATGATCTGCCCCCATCCTGTGTTTGTAGCCCAAGAGGTGTGCGTGAAAGCTCAAGCTCTCAGTCAACTCCCGCAAGCAAACTACAATGTACTGTCAGACTATGACCGTCTACATGCATCTATCGGGAATGAAAGGCGGCTTTCTTGCCTCACTGCATTGGCAGGAATCAAAGAATGAAGCTAGAAACATTGCCTCTTTGCAGCTAGTTTCAGGGTTTATGGTTTAGGACCACCCCCAACCATCCAAAATCTGAGCATGGTACATGTGAGCATCTATGTCGCCGAAGGCCCGCGACATCGCCACGTCGCCGGAGGGTACTCTCCTGGACGAAGTTAAGTGTAGGGATTTAGGTTGCGTCAGCAACCTCTTCGGGGCGATAAAGCCCACCAGAAGGGCTTTTGTGGAGTGGCATGGAGGTCGGAACCAAACCCGAGACCTTGCTCTAGGCTCGACAGCGACGCTTTCAACTCGGATGAGGCTGCGACAGGCGGGAAGGTGAACCGTCTTCGCCTGGAATTACCTGCAAGATTGGAAAGATTCCTGTGCTCCAAGGCCCGAAATGCCCCAAGACTACTGCTTGCAACCCATCCTGAAACCCCTCAATTCTGAACACCCACGGTGATAAGACAGCTGTGCTGGGCTTTTCAGGCGGATGTTATACTGGCTTCTTTCATGAGACCTTTTTTCGCATGCACTGCTACAACTCTCCCCGTCCTCAACGCAAAGCCCTGCCGCTACGACAACACGGACGAACAAAGCTATGGTTTGGGATGTTCCGCCTTTTACTAGCAGCCCTTAATCGGGATTATAGTACCCCCAAGACAAGTCCTTGTTAAGGACGAGGAAAATGTCCAATCGATGGTCACGTAACATGCCCGCATGAAGTTGACGCCGCAACGCAAGATCAGCCCCACAGCTCCTGAAGACTAATCTGAACCGCCAATCTACTGACCCAGTATTTGCCTAAGAACCCCCCCCCCAAAAAAAAATATAATAATAATAATAAAGATGACAATCCTCCAAAGAATACTCTTTTGGGGGTTCTGAGGCAAATAGTAGCGACAGGTTCTGCGGATGCAGGAGAAGGAAACCTCGAGGACAAGCGGTTTCCCGAGACCCCAGCTTTGAGAAGCTGAGGAATTGTCCGCCCTTTCCCAAGTCTCCAGTTCCACCCTAATACCCTACTTGGAGGTTCATGGGTACTTATAATTATAAGTGGGGTTATAAGTAGGGCAACTATACAAAGGACCTTACTTCGGGCACTTATATCCCGACTTATAACTACCCTTGAACCTCCAAATAAGGGTTTAGGGTTTAGGGTTAAGCCCTTTCTTTTTTCTCAACCCTAAGCACCTGATGTCCTCCTTGGAGGGAGGAACGTGGGTGGCCGAGGAATGGAAGCAATGGGAATGAATCGTGGTCTAGCCCTGATGCCTCAGCAGGCATGGCCTTCTTCGTAGTGGATGCAGCTGGGTGGTTTCGAACTTGATGGCTACATTTAGATTCTTACGTGTCTGCGCAAGGGGCCCTGATCACAAATGCTCTCTCTCGCTAAACACTGACCGCATGATCTCGAGAAAACACTCGAAACTTACCTTCCTCTCCCGCACTCCAAGATCCAAATACACCCTAAGCCTTCAGCAAAAGAACCTTACATCACATCCCGCGCCTGGTATGGTAAACGCGCAGGACCTAAGACCATCTCCAAAAGCTCAGCCCTGAACCTGCAACCCCAAAACTTAAACCCTAGCCCCAAGCCTGAGGGTTTAGGGTTTGGGGTTGAACTCCTGGATCCTTGGCTTCATGTCCGGGCCTTTCCCCTGGAGCTGGCGATTCTCGCCAGCTCATCCTCCGCAAAGGGTTTAGGGTTTAGGGTTGGTGTGGCATTCCGTGGGTCTCATAGATGTTTGCTGTTGAGGTCGTGCTTCCCTACCCCGAAACGATCCAGCCTGCAAGCAGCTGCCAAGATTCTGTGGGGTAACTATACATATAACTGGCTTTAACCATATTTAGGGTACTTGCAACCATACTTATAACTGCGCATGAACCTTCACGCATGAGAGTCTCATGAGGTCGAGTGCCTGGACTCAGCTTGACAAGGGCTGCCAGCTCCGAGGCTCTCATGTTCAAGGTAGCTTGAACAACTCTAGGGACTAATATAGGTGTCGGAATAAGTACTAATAGCATTCCCTCTATAACTCGACTATAAGAACCCCCCCAAACCCTATTCTAAGTATTCAGGCCCTATAGTACTTCCAGAGGGGCCAGGACTTTGGTTGCAAAAAGCAGCCTCTGACTTCATCGGGCGTGCCTTGGAAACACAGAGATCATGTCATAGCACGCTCCCTCTCCCTCTACTCTCTACTCGCATCCTTGAGCGAAGAACCTGAAGCCGAAACGATAGCTAAGCGGTGCAGGTTTGAAACTTATGCAATTCGGGGCGCATGGTGACACACGATCTCGCCTGTCTGTCCGGTCGGTGGGTAGAGGTCACCATGACGACCTGCATCCACCCGAGCGCACACCGATTTCGGAAGAGTAGATCAAGGGCGCTTGATGGGCTGAACAATGTGTTACACTACTCTCCATGCCAAGAGCGGCTTGGAGAATGTGATCGAGCTGCACGCAGTAGTGGAAACCGCTGGACCTCTGTAGGAGCATTACACGCTGCAGCAGAAGCGCCAACAACAGTCGCAACCCCAGCCGGAAGAGTTTCAGATGTCATCAGCTTGGCAGCACGTTGCCGAGCATCGAAAACTTAACACCTGGCTAAAGACACGGCTGTTGACAGAGCCTGAAACTCCGCCTGGCGGAACCTTTCGCACAACCGAGACCTACAGCAGCCTCCAAGCACAGACACCTCCAACCTGAGACCAGCTTTTAAAACTCTTATGTCAAACTTTCAGTTCCTCCGCTACACAACCTGTCAGTTGCGCCCGCCCAGAAATCCGTTTACCTTTGGAAATGCCTCGGAGCAGGTCGGGCCTGAAACAAGGAATCCATGTCGGCTCGCCTTGCGTACCTGGAGCACTTTTTTTCTTGCCACCGGCCAAGCAAACCAGGTTTGAGCCTGGGTTGAACCTGGGTTCAACCCAGGTTGAACCTGGCTGGGTTGAACCTGGGTTGAAGCCAGGTTTACATTTCGGGATGAGGGAGTTGAAAGGAAAAGACTTCTGGGCCACCCATCACCAAAGAACCTATTCACCACAAAGTACTAACTAGGTCCACGGTTCGTATTCCGCCGTGGTACGGAAGACACACAAGTACAAAGTTCCATGTTAAGATATGTTTTTTGTGTGGGAATTCATGAACCGTGGGCCAACTACCTCAAGGGAACATCCGGGCCTCCCACGAAGACTGAGGCCCACACCACAGAGCATCATTGCTGCACATTAGGACTTAGGGTTTAGGGGAGGGTCTAATATTGCTGCTGCATAATTTGAGGGAGGGAACGGGTTTTTTGGAAGACAGGTTAAGCGACTGATCCAGATGTCCATGGCCCACACAACTGGGGGATCTAGACAGAGCCGCAGACGGTAGAGTCTGCCATTGGCTGGTTGTCCATACAGGCGTTTGGTCATTTGCTACAGTAGGCGGCCGGAAAGCAACTCTACACGACTGCTTCTTTGTTGCTCGGTGGCTCAGCTCTTCTCCCAGAGCGGGCGAGAATAAAAAGACTCCGTGCATTAGCCTAGCTGAGTTTCTACCCAGCATCTCTAAACTGGCGCACACGGTCGAGGGTAAACCCTAAACCCTTTTTGCATCCGGACTCCCTAAACCCTAAACCCTAAACCCTAAACCCTAAACCCTAAACCCTAAACCCTAAACCCTGTGGTGGCGCACACGACGATCGAGTCCCCGATGAAGGCCGCACTCATGCGCCACGCACCTATGGAGACACCAAATAGTGGATTCCCTTATACTAAGGGCGCCTACTATAAGGAACCCTAATTTGGGAAACCCCCCACATCAGTTTTGTTGCTCAGTTTGCTCCTGTCTGGCTGGGCTGGGGTCTAGGCTTGGGCTCTGAGTATGGCCACTGGCGTTTAGGAGGGGAGAGCTCGACGTCAGCGCAATGAACAGCGGAGGTCACCAGCAAGCCCTTGCGGTTTGAGAGTTCAAGGTGGCGCAGGGCTTGGGGTGCCATTGGCTCAGGGCTCCAATCTTCCAAACAAACAGAGAATCCAATTCCCTAAAGCCCTAAAATCCCGAGATTCAGGGTAGGGCAGCCGAAGGCACTAAACCCCAACCGTAAACCCTAAACCCTGACGAGTCCCTGCGGAGTTGGGCGTAGGCGTGTGCAGTGCGAGTAGCCAAAAACCCTCCGCAGATCGGAAGATGGGCTTACATGAAGGTTCATGGGTAGCTCTAAGCAGGGTGTTTAATGCCCTGAAAAAGGTTATGAGCATTTCCGAATACCCACGAACTTTGCAGTGTACTTCCTGGTCTTATTAGGGACTGAGGGAATTGGTAGTAAGGACCATCCCTTAAGAGGCAATCTAAAGGATACAACATACCTAAATCATTGATTCTCTACAAAGAACCAGTACGTGTAGGGGAGGAACCCTAAACCCGAAACCCGAAACCCTGAGTATTGAGGAAGTCGAGACAGCCTGCCCCATCCGGAGAGAGGAGAACCATAGAGGCAGTGGTCCCTGACTCGAGTGCCTAGATGCACAAGTCTGGGTTCAGGGTTTAGGGTTTAGGGTTCAGGGTTTAGGAGTTCAGAGTTCAGGGTTTAGGAGTTCAGGGGTTTAGGGTTTTGTGCCTGCCAAGCAGCCCAGTCAGGGTTCGGGGTTTAGGAGCTGAGGGACTAGG